CTTAATAAACTTTACTATAATTACCCTGGCCAAGTAACTTATTATAACGTTATTAAGCACTCACCAACTCTCCCAAGAACTCATATAATATGGTAACAATACATCTTAATTTTTGTTGATTAATAATTAATTACAAAATTTTTGATGAGAATAATAATATTATTCTATTTGCATCTCCAATAGCTAATGCTTGATTCATTGTTCATCAAGTAAAAGCTGAATCTTTTAAATAGGCTGGTATTACTGCTAGTTTTCTGATATCATTAGTTCTATTTGCATTACATGCTCTAGTAAATTCTTTCAATTAACTAATTGAATCTTGGTTTCCTCTACTAAAGTTAAAAATACCAACTATTTTTGATTCTCTCATGAGCTGATTGGTGAGTGCTTGTGTCAGCTTGTTGTATCATGTTACCTGAAATAGTAAGTCTAAATTTAAATTTTCTGATGTATTATCTTCATTATCTTCTTGTTGAATTATAATTTGATCAATATAATCTTCTGGATTTACTTCAGATATAGTATTTGCAAGTGAAATTGGTCTTTTTTAGAACGCAAGATCAAGTATTTTTATAAGTTGCCATTTCCGATCTCATGTTTTTTCCATTCTGGAATGTTCCCAATCATTAAAGATGTTCGTTATTACTAATCGTCAAGATCTTGGATTATAAATTTACATGACAGATCAAAATTTTTTGTATATAATTACACATTTTGCAATCTTGTACTATCATATTGCGAAAAAATGTTTTTGCGCCTGAAATCCAAATACCCAAGAAGGCTTTTAAATGGGTCTTTTATAGGGGGGCTATACCGCGACCAACAACCACCCAGACTTCCCACCTCTTTCAAATCCTTTCAAAAAATTTCTCGTTCGTTAAATCAAGATTACAAGTTCTTTTCTTCAAGTCCGGCATGCAAGTTAGAAGCTTTTACACCTCTAGACACTTTTCCTCGTAGACATATTGGTCCTTCTGATACAGAAATAAAAAGTATGCTAGAGTTTGTTGGCGTCAAAGACCTGGAGGACCTCGTTTCAAAAACAATTCCAGCCAACATTCGGTCCACCAAACCACTCTCACTCGAAAACGGTTTGACCGAGAATGCTTTACTCAAAAGACTGCATAATATCGCGTCCCAGAATAAAACTTTTAAGTCATACATAGGAATGGGATATGCAGACACAATTACTCCTCCTGTAATTCTGAGAAATATTTTGGAATCCCCAGGCTGGTATACCCAAGTAAGTAACGTGTTTCACGCTCAAAACTTCATCGATCTATCCACATCCCCTTCGAAAACAAGGTGGTATTAAAATTCTACATTGAAAGACGGTCCAGCACTTGAAGTGTCCGCGCCGATACTCTCCATCCATCATTACAAATTAATCGATTTATTTCCTGCTCGATTTTACGTCCAATTTTTAATTGACAGTACACGCCATATCAACCAGAAATATCTCAGGGTCAGTAGTAATGAAAATTTTTTTCGCTAAATCATTTTGATTTATGGAAAAAAATAAAAACACGTTTCGACAATCACATCTTCAGGTAGATTGGAATCTTTACTAAATTTCCAAACGATGGTCACGGATCTCACTGGCATGTCTATTGCAAATGCTTCTTTATTGGATGAAGGCACTGCTGCAGCTGAAGCAATGCTGATGTGTTATTCCCATGCTCAACGCAAACGAAATATATTTTTCGTTGATAAAAATTGTCATCCTCAAACAATTGCTTGTTTAAACACGCGAGCCGAAGGCTTTGGTATACGTATTATTCTCGGAGATTCTTTCAATTTTGATTTTGATCAACATGATAAAGATTTGGCGGGAATCTTAATTCAAGTAAATATAGAGAATTGTTTCATTGATTCAATTCAATTGCTGACATACATACTAATTATATATTCAAGTATCCTGCAACAGATGGTTCGATATGCGACTTTTCATCACTCGCACAAAAAATACATTCTTTAGGAGGGCAAGTTATATGCGCTACTGATCTTTTAGCTCTGACTGTTTTTGTTCCACCGGGTGAATGGGGCGCTGATATTGCACTCGGAAATAGTCAACGTTTTGGAGTTCCGTTAGGTTATGGTGGTCCACATGCAGCATTTATTGCGTGTAAAGATCAGCATAAACGAAGAATACCCGGACGAATTGTAGGAGTTTCTAAAGATGCACTTGGTAATAAGGCATATCGATTATCTTTGCAAACACGAGAACAACACATAAGAAGAGAAAAAGCAACTAGCAATATATGTACAGCTCAAGTATTACTAGCAAATATGGCTGCTATGTACGGTGTTTATCATGGACCTGAAGTAAGGTTTACTAACTAAATGTAAATAAAATTTCATGAAATGAATAATAATTTTTAATTTTAATTCCTCATAAAAAGGGAATAAAAGCAATCGCACATCGTGTTCACAATCTCACAAGCATTTTGGCAGAGGCAATACAACAATTAGGATACACTATCAAAGTTGAACAATTCTTTGACACTTTAAATGTTCATGTTGATGAAGGTGCAGATATTCTTTTAAAAAAAGCAATTGACGCGCAAATCAATCTTCGTAAAGTAGACGAGCACACTGTTGGTATCACAATGGATGAAACAGTTACCAGAAATGATTTGGATGTTCTTTTAAATAAAGTTTTTTTAAAGGCCAGTAACTTGCAATTACCGAATTTAACAGAAATTGCTAAAACAGTCAAACCAGAGATTGATTCTCGATTAATTCGCACAACTCCTTTTATGCAACATCCTGTTTTTAATTCTTATCACTCGGAAACTGAAATACTTCGATACATTTACCATCTTCAGTCTAAAGATCTTTCTTTAGTGCATTCAATGATACCGCTGGGTAGCTGCACAATGAAACTCAATGCCACAGTTGAAATGATACCAATTACTTGGCCGGAATTTGCTGATGTTCATCCTTTTGCTCCAGTTGATCAAGCTGAAGGTTACCGAATTTTAATAAAGGTATTTGAATATATTCGTAAATCTAAATTATTTTTTAAAAAAAGTTTAGATAATTATTGTTTTATCATCAATTGCTTTAACTATTCACGCAAAACTTTTCTAGGAATTGGAAAATGACCTTGCTAAGCTGACTGGTTTTGATGGAATATCGATGCAGCCCAATTCTGGAGCACAAGGAGAATATGCTGGGCTTCGAGTTATTCGTGCCTACCATAAATCAAGAGGCGAAGAAAAACGTAATGTTTGCCTAATACCAGTTTCTGCGCATGGAACAAACCCAGCTTCAGCTACAATGGCGGGATTAGAAGTCGTACCTGTCAAGTGTCAAACTAATGGCGATCTTGACATGAAAGATTTGGAAAATAAAGCGGACAAATATTCAGATCATTTAGCGGCATTCATGGTCACATATCCTTCTACGTTCGGTGTATTTGAACAAGGGGTCGCTGAAGCGTGTAAAATAATACATGAACACGGTGGTCAAGTATATATGGACGGTGCTAATCTTAATGCGCAAATTGGCCTATGTAATCCAGCTGAAATCGGTGCTGATGTTTGTCACTTGAATCTACACAAAACATGTAAATGTTATAATTCCAAAGACGACTATAATTGATTATTCATTCTGTTAAAGCCTAGTTTTTTATATTTAGTTTGCATTCCACATGGTGGTGGTGGTCCGGGGATGGGTCCAATTGGCGTGTAAGTTGTTATTTTTTAATATTTTCTATGAGAGAACGATAATTTACTAATTTTATATTACATATTATATATTATATAATATCTATATACAGTAAATCTCACCTCGTTCCTTTTTTGCCGGGTCATCCTATCATCCCAACTGGTGGCAAGCAAGGCATTGGTCCAGTCGCAGCAGCACCTTATGGTTCCGCCGCCATCCTGCCTATTTCTTGGGCGTATATTAAACTGATGGGTAAATGAATGATTTTACTGCTAATATAGAATTTACGAATTGCAATTTATCTGAGATTTGAGATGATGTTTTTTATTCAGGTGCTGAAGGATTAACAGATGCTACCCGGGTAGCACTTCTCAGTGCTAATTATATGGCTCGTAAATTAGCTCCTCATTACAAAATCCTTTTTACAAACCAAAACGGAATGTGTGCGCATGAATTTATCATTGACATTAGACCATTTGGAAAATCTGCGGGAATTGAGGCGATCGACATTGCGAAACGTTTACAGGTATGAAAACTATACGATCATAAAAGCTACAAAAAAAAGCTTAATTATTATCGTTATATAGGACTATGGATTCCATTCTCCAACAATGTCTTGGCCTGTGCCTAATACATTAATGATTGAACCTACCGAATCTGAGTCAAAAGCCGAACTAGATCGATTCTGCGACGCAATGATCTCTATACGAAAGGAAATACAAACGGTAGAAGAAGGCAAACAATCAAAAGGCAATAATTTGTTGACTAACTCTCCGCATACTATCGAAGTTCTTATTAAGGAGACTTGGGATAAAGCGTATACGCGAGAACAAGCCGCTTTTCCTGCAAAATATTTAAAAGAGCAAAAATTCTGGCCAAGGGTTGGAAGATTAGGTAATCAACCATTTTACGGAATTTCTTTTTTATTTTGTACCTTTATAAAGTATCAAGAAATATTAAATTTTTATATTTGAATTTTTTACACAGATGATGCCTATGGTGATAAAAATCTTGTGTGTTCGTGTCCGCCTATTGAAGATTATGAGGATTCCGGAGAAACAAAATAGAAGCACATCAATGTATAATCATTTTAATATATTAGTTATTGTAAAAGTATAATAATAGAATTTTGTGCTTGCTTAGTTCCTTTATAGATTATTATCGCTGTATTTGATATCTTTAGAATAATAATTACAATAATGAATATAATTTTCACTGTTACTCAAAGTAATTTAGCAAACTTGCTTCGCTTTTATATATTAGTTGGATCGCAAAACTTCCACGCGAATAGAATACGGTAAAAATAGACTCGTAAATTGCCCAAGAATTAATTTATTCAATTGTTAGGAAAAATACACTTTACGAATTCTGGTTTCGATATGCTTGTAAATCTATTGCTGCAGCAATTCTTTATTAATTCTAAAATAAAACAGAAATTAAATGAAAAATGTTATTTTTATAATATTTCCATGCTCTAATTTTATTTTTTAGCCGAGATAGGAAATATGACTATAGAAGAGCAAAGGTTTCTATGGTTTCCGCCTTTTTCTTTCGTCATTAATCATAATATCGTGGTTCATTAAAAACATGATAATGATGCCCACGAACTCCATCCCCCTTAAACTTTGCTGGAAACCGTAACCCGGGTGCGATTTCTTCCTCTTCTATACGTCGATAACTAGCTTTCCAGGTGTCTGGGTTATACTTTTTGTCTGTGAGGGCCTGAAACTTGCCAGCTTGTATCTCTGTATCAGTTAGACCACCGTGACTAATACGTGCATAGCCCGTACGTTTCATTCCACGATAAACAATATATTCACACCACCGATCATCATCTAAAGGATCTATATCGTTCATTCGACCATCGAGAGTGAGAATGAAATAATTACCATTCAATGGTTTCGTAACTACATAACCAAGAAAGATGAACGGATTCTTGCTTTCATTCATGATTCGCGCTAATTCTGTTGTTTGTAATCTTCGATCTTCGGGATCTTCCTCTTGGCCGTTATGACTCACTATCACGTCAACTGGTTGACCATATACGTCAAGTGTAGCGTGAATAGCGCAGGCCAGTTCTCCCACGGGTGAAGGAAGGAGATGATGTGTTGAACTTATAATCGGGAATTTTGATAACATGGAACATCCCCAGGTGTGTTTCGATGGACCTGGACCATAATCTGCATACATGTTGAGATCTTCGGCTAGAAATTGTGTCAAATCCCGGTTGCCCATAATTATTCTTTCGAGATCCGATTCCAATAGACCTTTTTTTAACATGTATAAAAATTAGAAAATTTGTATTCGTTATATTATTCTATAAATGGTAAAAGACAGTATAGGCGTACCGATGACATCAAGTTCCAGTTCTTTGATTACATCTCGCATTCGATATTCACTAGCCCACATGTCATTGTCAAGACCAAAATGCACTGTCCATATTCCCGCGGTCAATAGTTTTTGATCTGGGTGATAAGGTTGTGGTGGTTGAGATGGAAGTCTAATGAAAACGATAACAAATGAAATAACAATCAAAGCTGCTAATCCAATTTTTGTCAAAGATCTCACTGAACGAATTTGATTAATTTGTAGCTGTTTATAACTGAAATCAGCAGAAGACGCGTCAAGAACTCCAGCACCAATTAAAAGCATCATTGCAAATAAGACATAATCGGTATGTTCACGTAAATATTCACCGGCTGGTACAAATGCATAAGCGACAGTCCATACATGAGCCAAACATAAAATGTTGTAAATCATCATCGCAGTGAAAAATGTTCTTCCAGGCGGGTAACGAGTGACCGAATGAATAAATATTGGCACGAGGGATACCAAATAAACCGCTAATATCAGGCCTCCGTAATATCCATTCCACGCGGGATAATAGTACATACAAGAGCAAGATACACAGCCAATCACGTACCAAGGAAAACTGGTAACTATTTTACGATTCGTGGATAATACTAAACCGAGGGACATTGCCACGATTGTGGCTGCACCCCAAGGTATAGGAAGTGGACCTGTGTCCGGATATCCTTGGATTACCCAACGCGTGATTGTAGAGGAATCAGAAAGTAATGAATGCAATGCGAATAAAAGTGAGCCAAATCCACCAGCAGTAAAAAACCAGGATTCTAACCTATGTTGCTGTTGATGTGGCTTTCCTTCTGTATTAATCTTGACACTACTTTTATTATCGTTGTCAAAACTTTTATTTTGATAGATAATATTCTCAAAAGCAGCAATAACTCCCAGTAAAAGTCCTATAAAATTACATCCACCATTCTCTTTGTGCATTATAGGCCATATAGGATTATTAGTCCACCATGCCATCTTGACTACATTACTCAAAATTAATCCCAATGTCCAAACAAGCGCGTCATGCTCCAATTTTCCAGTATTGTCACGATTCTCAATCCATCTGGATGTCCGCATAAGATTTGCCATAGCAACACCAAAAGACACGACAAATAATCGGGCAGTCGGATCAGTGAAGAAGTATGCCGCGAGGCCAGACAAAGAAATAAGATGAAATATACTGCGATTGGTAGCAATTAGATATCTAACTGATGGAATTCCGAGAAGTACCGGGGAAATAGTCACGAGTAAGCATACTTCAAATCCTGATATTCCCATATGCCATAGCGGAAAATACCAAATAGTCAGGGCTAGTGATGTTAACATGGTCCAATAAACAAATGCTGAAAAAAAATAAATTATGAGTTGATTGATCAAAAAATAAATTGATTTTTTTACTATTTCCACTTACCGAGATAAGTATCGGCGATAAATCCACGGAGATTATACCAGAATCCAGAATACATAAATTTCTCGAGGTTGTATAGAGTAATATTATTATTAGTGGTGGTGGTTGTGGCCGTGTTGGTCCTAAATAAATGGAGCAACCACACGTTAAAACTAGAGATCAAATTAAACATTTTGCCGTGGATATCTTAACACCATAAACCTTTTTAAGGATAGCCAAATAAATAAATCCAGATGCTCTTTTTAAAATATTATATTCGATACTCACTTCGCCTTTTCAGTATCACTGCTAATAGTGGAAGTAGTGCCATTGAAAAAACTATTATTGCTTTATGATTGGTGCGGTGTGGTGAGGTGTGTTAAATGTTAATTAGTTTTTTTTATTATTTCAAAAAGATCATAATAATAATAATTATTATAATCTATTTCTAATAATTTGAAATGAATAAGATAAAAAAAAGCTAATAGACAATGATGACTATATATATATACAATGTATTAAATTAGACCAGTCGTTTGTACTCATACCCAGATTGCTGACGCGTAACATCGATAACACGGATTTCAAGAGAGTTGAAATCGTATAGGCTAACCGCATCAAAAGCGATATCATAGGCAATTAGTGACCATTCAAAAAATGCGTAAATCGTATACGCTAGTTATCAACAGCATAAAAAAATCAAGACAAAAATAATTAATTTGTATATTATATTAACAAACACACCACCAAAAAAATCAAAATACAAGAATTGCTTACCACCAGGGACAGCGTACACCTTATGTCTGACGAAAAAGTAAGTCATCGGCACCAACGTTCCAAAAAACAGCAAAACCAGCCGCCGTCTATAGGATTGTGCTTGTTTGTTATTTGGTGGCGCAATAGCAAGACAACCCAACATCCAAGGTAACGTCAGCACTACATATGTGATCATGGAAACGTCGTGAATGTCATGATCCTCCGTCGAAGTAATGTATGTCCAGCCACCACATGATATCGTTCGAATGAGACCAACAATAGCGTGTATTTTAGGGTATAAGTGATCGGGTTTATTGGAAATCATGTAGAATAAAAATATTAGTGCGAATCGAGGACCTGTGTTGGTAGTTAATTAATTTATAATAATCAAAATGTTAATTTAGGTATTAGAAATAGAGCAACAAAAAATCACCCGATTTTTTATTAGTTTACCGGAAGTCACGGCAATCATGATTTGAAATACTGAACGAGCAGGATACCAGTCACCAGTGACTGCACTGACACTCGGGAACCATTCCTAATATATTTAATAGCGACAAATTAATAAAGATAAAAAACAAAAGCAAAAATGCTACATACCTCTGGATATCCCCAATGTTCATTCTTTACAATCTGATGATAATGCGTTAGACAAGCAATGATTAACGTAGAAAAAAAGGCAACTAAATAGAAAAAAATTTAATCAATAAGCAAAATGATTGTCGAAAGAATAAAAAAGATTACCATATCCCAAAATAGTATGGATATATGAAATCCATCGCGCATTAACCTATTGAAAAGATTTTACACGATAGTGCAAAAAAAGAAAGAACGTATAACATAATATTAACACAATATGCAATATCATTATCCATTTAACAAGAACTCTCCCAAATGAAAAAGCGGTAAATTTATACCTTTATTATTATCGAATCAGCAGCAATAGCATTAGCAGTCGACGAGTCTTCTTTGCTCGTAGACATTATTAATCTCAACCATATATATCAAAAAAAAACTATGCCTTTCTCAAGTATAATCAAAGAAATATATAGTTGAAGACGGAAGAGTCAGTCAGTAATGTAAACAGACGCGCAAATTTTTTTATTGGAATTTCAATAAAAGACGCGGTGAGGCAACTTTATATTTGAAGCTTTTTTTTGATGCCATATGGATAAAATCTACACATCACTCCCGTTAAACCGGGCAAACGTTACAAATGGCGCAGTTGGTGCAGGTCTAAAGTTACGCCGAACTTCCGGAAAATTTTATTAACATTAAAGCCAAATGACCAGAAATGACATCGAAATGACCTAAGACTAGGTCTATCATGTGATTTATTTTTCAACCAATAATCGTAGTAGCAAAGTGAAGACAAAAAAGGGCAGATCATGTGACTTCCGATCACAATCTGTCCTTCCGGAGTCTGTTCATGTATATTTCTTTTTTTTATTTTATTACATAATATATACAAACAAAGTATTGTTGTGATATGATTTTTAACATATTACATCATTTCCTTTTTAAGTTCATATTATTCATTTTATATTTCATTTATATTTCATTATTATTCAATTATATTTCATATTAATTGTATTTGATTCATATTATATTTATGTTATGAAAAACATGTGTTAATTGATCTACATGATCTAATTTGATTGATACTAATAATATAATATATGTAACATCAAAGCAAACAATGTATAATCATTAAACAAATAAGCATTTTTTGTAAGTATAATATTAATTAGATATGGTTTAGATTTTGATGATCAAGTAATAAATAATTTATATAAATATAATATGTATTTTAACTTAGAAATAATTAAGTTTAAAGTAATTTTTATTACTTATACTTTTAATATTCTTTAAATAATTTTTTTATATAACTTTTTGTTTTAATTATAAAGTTATTATTATTATTTAATATATAATCTTTCATTTATATTGCAAAGTTATTTTTCTTATAATAATTTATATTTGATCTCTTATTTATATTGTAAAGTTAATAATAATATATAATTAAATTAATAAAAAAAATTACATTTTACTTATTTATCAAATTAACTTTAAAAAAATACAATTATCTTTAAATATTTCTGATTTTATTCTAGCTGATCACAAAAACAAACATATATTATTTACCTTTAAATAATTTAATAAACTCTTTCACTTAAAGATATTTTATAAACTCTTATACTTAGTTTAATTTCACATGTTCTTTCTATAACAAAGTTTAAAATTATATAAAAATGATAACAATACAAAGTGTTAATAATTATAAAATAAAATATCAATACTCATCACAACCAAAATATCAATCACTAATCTTTGTCATGTTATCAGATATATTACTAAGTTCTTATATTAAGAATTTTATAACATTCTTGAATTTCTTGTACAAGTAACTCTGTTATTCTTTCGAATTCTTTTTGAATAACTTTATTTTTTTTTGTAATTTTAAAGATTTTGGCTACTTCATTTCAAAGTAATTCTTTTAGGAACTGATAAATTTATTATTATCAAAAGTGTCTATTAATAGTTATCAAATATGAATAAGAATATCAAACTTGTATTTTTATTTTTGTAACTTGGTACTATTTTTATTTATTTTATTTAAATATAATTCAAGAACTTTGAGAATATTTAATTAAAATAAATCTAATTAAATTTACTTTACAATAATTGCAATAATTGTTATTTTGATTGAGAATTAGATAATTAATTAGACATTAACTTTGTTAATGAAATAATTAATTGATTGATCACAACATTTACTTTATAATTATATTTAAATCTGCTTTTTAGAAGAGATATAATTGTACATTAATTTTATTAATGAAATCTTTTTTAATTATAATACTTTATGTAGAATAGTATAAAGTTTTTAATTAGTATTAAAATTAGTATATAATAATTATAAACTTTAATAATACTTATTTATTTATTTATTTTTAAATAATATCTATAAATTAATAAATTAAAATTGTATATATTCCTTAAGAATTTATAATAAAACTTTTGCTTGATAATTATTATCTTTTTAATGATTGAAATTTGCTATTCAGAAGAAATAATTTTATTAATAAAATAGTTAATTAATTAATTATAATACTAGCTTTTTGATAATTATTAGCTTGCTAATAGTTAAGTATTATTATTTAAAAGAAAAATAATTAGATAATGATTTTATAATGAGATTTTGATTGATTGAACAAAATATTTTAATGAGAAATGAAAAAGAGAAATTAAAAAAAATTCAAAAACAAAAAATTACTTATTAATACAAAAAATCAAGATAATTCAATGATTGAAGAAAAGTCTAAATTACCTAGTAAAGATAAAAACAAATATTTCAATCAGAAAAGTTCTCATTATACTGATATTTCCTTATTATTACCAAAAAATTTAAATGATAAACCAAAAAAATTGAAATTGAAAAAACCTATTAAAAAAAATATGAAAAATATTGAAAAAATTTTGATTTTATATTATGCAAATAATTTTGATCAGATAATTATAATTATTATTATTCTGATATCTTTAATGATTGAGATTTTTATCCAGTAGAGATATTAATTAGATATTGATTTTATTAATAGAATTTTTATTAATAATCAAAAATACTTTAATGTATAATATAATATAATATAAAATAAAACTTTTATAATTAGATTAATAATTACAAATTCCAAATATTTACCTAATTGTAGATTTATTTCTTCACAAATCTTTTGCTAAATATGATATTTATCTATATTATAATATATAATGTAATAGAATGCAATATGATATAATATATTAGGAACAAATAAAGTCTTGTCTTGATAAAGAAAGAACAATTATAAATTATACAAGAATTTTCTTTTTACAAATTATTTTGCTTGTTATTGTTATTTAAAAAATAAAAATAAAATATTAATCATAAATGGTAATTAGAATTCTGAAAAAAAGTTTGATTTAGTTCGAGTTTGATTTAGTTCAAGTTTGGTTTAGTTCAAGCTTGAATTTGACTCGAATTTAATCAAAAATCCAGTTCAAAAATTTGAACCTAATTAAAAGTTCAGTTTAAATTTTGAATCAGATTCGAACTTGATCAAAAGTTCAGTTTGAGTTCAAGTAAATATTTGTTGATATTTTAAGTAAAGTTGTAAATTGTAATATGAGTTACAAATTGATATAAATTAATTAATATTTAGAATAAATATTTAAGAAGTTATATTGATTTAAAAAATAATTTTAATTATTATAATTTTAATTTGCTTTAGTTTTAGTATAATAAATATTTATTTTGCTATAATAATTATAAACTAATAAAGTTATAGTTATAAATAAGAGCTACAAATTGGTATAATATAATTATTATTAATAATAATTATTTGGAAAGTTATATAATATAGTCAAATCTCTTTATAGTCATACTTATTTATAGTTACATCTTTCTATAGTTATCCTATTTTGCTTTTTCATTTATATATAAATATAGTAAAAAAAACTTCTCTATAGTCATATCTAAAGATGATACAGCAAGTATATAATACTTATTTGTTATCTGTTACTAAAGATACTTGCCTAAATCCTTTCAGAAAAATATCGTCATAATTTTGATGGGTTACATACTAATTGTTAATTAGAATTTCGACATAATTTTGGTTACGACAGGTTTCAAAATTTGTCAGAATTTTGACAGGTTATTTACTAATAGTTTATTATAATTTTGACAGAATTTAGACAATCACTAAGGGATTTCGGCAAGCAACCTTATCTGTTATAACACGTTGCAATTCCAAAATTTTATAAGTTGTAACTAGATGATGCTTTATTTGTCACTATATTGCAACAGTTACCACACCATCTTTAGTTACATCCTCTTTATATTCATCAAATTTTGCTTTCTTAAGAGTGATAAATATAGAGAGATTTTTGACTATATTTATAATTAAATTTAATAAATATAAAAATAAAAATACTTTAGTTATTACTATATAAATATTTAATTCTTATTAAATATTATAAATTGTACTTATAAGTAAAGTTTTAGCTTATATTTAGAATTATAAATCAATATATAATATTATATATTGATTTTTAATCAAACTTGAACTTGTATAATGATTAGTTCAAGTTTAATTCAAAGTTTGAACCTTTCTTGAACTCAAGTCAAAGTTCAATTTGAGTTCAATTTGAATTTTGAACTGAATTTAAATTTAGGTAAAAGTTCAGTTCAGTTTAATTCATAGAAATACTAGTCTTATTATTATATTGTTAATATTTATTTTTATCTTTATTCTATTAAAGAGTTATTTAGCTAAAATAATTTGTTTAATCAAACTTTAAATTTTATTATTCAAGTTACTTTTTATAAATCTTGAGTAAGATCAAGAAATTGAATATTGATTTGTTTAAAATTAAATTTTTGATTATTTGTTTATTGAGTCTTAAACTTTGAAAAGACAGAATTTATTTTTTTTTTGAATTAAATATTTGTAATATTTTGATTTTTGATTAAAGATATTTGATTTGAATATAGTATTTTATTTTTTTATTAATATTAAAAGTACTAGAATATACATCTACAAGTATAGAAATATTAATACTATTTGTTTTAATTAATAATTTAATTATTTTTCAACTTTTTTTTATTTTCTATAGAATTATTTAATAATTTTTATTAAAATTAATATAAACTTAGATATTTATTTTTGTACTAACCAATTCATTAATTTATTTTACTCTCCTAATTTATATAACTCTTTTACTAAAAGTAAAAAAAAACTTTTTATTTAAAGTAACTAATATTATATCTAATGAATATTCTGATAAATTCCAAATTTCAAAATTCTTATTATCAAAATGAGATATTTATTAAAAAATTAATATTTGTAAAGATATAATATTACAAAAAAAATACTTTTAGAAAATATATTGCAATAATATATTTGATTTGAAAAATTTTTATTATAATATTTACATTGTCAATATA